AATTCAAATCGTATTATTCTATTATACGCCCGTTCTTTCAATACGATACGCCGGTTCAACCTTGACTGCCACCATTCGACTATTTTCGTCCGCGATAATTCGTGGCCCATTTAGAAGCACGCGCGATGATAGTAGACTGTATTTCGTTCGTTATCTCGAGACGTGCAAACAATAATGAAATCGTTGGTAAAAATATATCGGCGATAAAAATAACACCATGGGAAAAGAGAGATGTACGAGGAACGCTCGAATACAAATATACGGCGAATAATTACGAGTCATCGGTATTAATTTCCCGTTTATCTGAATTTTCACGCGTTCCACGTGAGCATCGGCGTGATCGCGTCGGTCGCGTTTCTCGTCTCGCGACACGTGACCTGAGGTAACGTGTTGCCCGTTCGCGAATACGTATTACGTAACGAACACGTGGAACGGATACCAATGACGAATAAACGACGACGACGGCGGCGACGACGACATACGTGTGCGCGCGTCGTGAATTTCTTTCGATCGACCGGTTACATCGGCGCTTCCCGATCAATCTCGACGGGAAACTTGGCGCGATAGCGGGCCGGCCGAGTGGGCGTTTCGACTGATAAACAATGCGCGGCCGGCTTAAGAAATAACACGCGGTGCGTGATGCAACTGCCGCGGCGGTGCACAGCATAGAAATGTTCGCGCAATTCGCGCGCGTCTATTCGCGCCGGGTCTAGCCTAGCGCTCCTCTCTCTCTCTCTCTCTCTCTCTCTCTCCCTCTCCCCCTTTATTCGCTCTTCTATGGCTGCTCTCCCGCCACGTGACTCCTACACGTGCACGCTGTGTTATGCTAGACCATTCACCTTCGTTGCATAATAGAAACGCGAAAAGGTCATCGGGAACAACGGAGCCTGATATTTCCTAATATGATTGATAAATAGCGAGCTCGATCACGTCGATCGGTGAACGATCACAATCCGATCTTACATATTTATTCGATAAATCTTGCTCGCAATTGTTCGATGTTAATTAAATCGATCTCGAATTTTTTTTATTTCTTTTCTCTTCCCAATTTTTAATTTAATTTAATTCAATTGATTTGCCTTTTGTTCGTATATAAATTCGAAGAGATTAGAATTATCTAAAAATAATTGTTACCTTTCATTGTGATCGGAATAAAAAATTCAGATATCGCGTTATGAAAATTTTCTTCCAACTCGGTATGATCGATGAACGACCGATGACGCAATGCACAATCCGCAATATCCGAGACAGCTACTTACACACATACACACACACACGTAAGCGCGCGCGCGCGCGCACTCGCGGATACCAGAGCGTATAGGTGTATATCGTGTTCTACACGCACGCAGGGATATCTAAGAAATCGTATCGGGAATACTACACGTACTTGGCGATTCGTAGCCGGCTATGCATACCCTTGTACTGCGCTCGCGCGCATCTATCCACGCGAATATAATATCCGTGTCATGCATTTCCTCGAACCGTAGATACCGCTAATCACATTGATGTGACACCACAAACAATCTAGATCGAGATAACGAGCGCAACGCGTGTGTTAATTCCTTCCCTTCTTTGATAGATATAACATAAATCGATATCGTTCGAAAATAATTAATAACTTTGGAAATTTTACGCAACATTGAGAACGAGTGATAATGACCTCCAGATTTTATCCAGATTGCGTCATGTTAACGATACGAATCACGATAAATGGATTTCAGGGCTTAAATGTGCGGATAGATAAATTATTAATATATAAATTACTCGATAATATTGATACCGATTTATAGCGATAACGCAAGTATTTGTAACAAAGTGTAATGTACACTTTGGAGTGCACATTATATTTCGATATCATAAATATAAACGGTCGGTCAAAAAAAAAATTGCAGTAATTTTGACTTCGATTGACGCGACATTTTCAAACATTTGCTTGGAACGATCGTTAAACATATTTCGCAATTTTCTATTTTAGGTTAATACTCGTTTATCGATATTTCCATTGATAACATTGTTAACCTGCATTATCGATATTCATCGATAACGGTGCAAATTATATCAAATATAGAATCAAATTTCAATAATGAAATTTGATTTACGATAATTTCAAAGAAGCCATTAACTCGGCAACAATCATAAAACTGGACAATTAAATATGAATATCCGTTACTTTTCGTTCCCATCGGCCGGGTTTTCCGTCCCTTTCATGACCGCGTTTGAAACGACTCGACCGAGCAGAAGCCTGCCACTGTATCTCGTACACGTGCGTGCCCTTCGCTCCAAGTCCGTGAAGCTTATTGCACATACGTTTTACGCTACGACGAGGTTGAGAGTTCTGCAAATTAGGCCGTGGCCCACTTCGGCAACGATAGAGAGAAGGTTGTGGCGGAGGCGGCGGCGTGGCAAGAGAAGAGTAGTGGGATCGATCGAGGAGAGGGAGAGGGAGGGGGAAGGGTAGTATACAGAGCGCGAAACACGAACGAGAAGGGGGAGGGGGGATGGACGAGTAGTTCCCGTTTCAAACGAGGATCACGATCGATCGAGCGATCTTCGAAACGATGCCAATAATCCACGTGCGAAACGACAGTTATAATCGTATAATCATTTTCATTTTTATAAAAATTATTTATATATTATATACGTATAAATCGCTCATCGACCGAGTGGAAATGACACGTAATACAAAAAGTCTTGGAATAATATGTTTGTATAACGAGGAATTCGTCCCGTTGAAAATTCGTTTGGGAAACGAATCATCGTCCGGTTGCATTCTTTGCGGTATAAGACGAGATAAGGATCAGAGTCCTCTTCTCTTCGTCACGAATGACGCAACGACCGCTGCCGCGTTGCTCACGCGTTGCACGAGACTTTCGTAAGCGCATCCTTTCCTCGCTTCATACTCGTCGATCGTTTCAATCCCGTCCTAATACCAACGATCATAAAATAATTTTTCATCTTTGGTGCAAAAAAAAAGAAAAAAAAAAAGAAAGACAATTGTACATTATTTTTTTATTTTTATTATAAAGTGGATTGATGTTCGAGAAACGAGCTTATGATACAATCTCGTCGATAACAAGATAAGATACGCCAAATAGATTGGAATGAAAACAATGAATGTACGAGTTTATTGTGCCCGCGAATTGCAGTCAGACGTTGCGTCAACCGAATCGTTCTTGAAGGTCAGAGTCTCCGAGCATTCAGGGTCGTTTCGTAAATATCGCCGGTTGAAATCGATAATGGTGATCTGTGATCGATTTAACGAACACGCACATTTTGTCGTTTCAATTGGTATTTAAAAATATCGTAAGTTCACTTCTATTTAACACGAATTACGAGGATTCGCCGTTATCATAATTATAATGGTATGATTCGAAGGATAATATAACTTCTCGAAATGAGAAAATTGGACTCGTCTCGATCGAAGCACGTACCCGCGATAGTTAATTCCAATGAGTTTTAGTTCAAAGTCCTGGCGCGTGACAAGTTGCCAGTAGATAACGTTCTATTCTACAAATTATTACAAGGCCGTTTCACGCGTAATCACGAGTATTTCCGCTTAAAGAAAAAAAACAACGGTCTCCGTTTGATCGCGACAGTCTTGATCCGTGCGCGATCAGTGTTCTCTTCAAGAATCGTTCTCGATCGAAATGGAGGTGGAGGACGGATAAATAATTTCGGAGTAGAAAAAAGTCGACGAAATAATTTATTTTTAGATTACTCACCAATTTTGAAAGATTCTGTCGAACACGATCGAACGATGGAACAGCGATCCACTTTTCCTCGTCGAACTTGATGAAAGTTGACGGTGCGCTGCACTCGTCGATTAGCAAACGATTGAATAGTATGTATAGTTTATCCGCGAGACACGGAGATAGTCACTGGCTCAGCGTGGAGTATCCCGTTCGTCGAACCAATGTAACGAGAGTCACCGTCATAATAACGCCTGTTATCGCGGCTCGCGATTGAAACCGTTCTCCCTCTTCCACGGGTAAATCCAAGCGAATCCCTCAAGAGTGACGGTATCGTATCGTGTTATTTATGTCACACTAAACGGTAAATATTATAATACCAAAAAAAAAAAAAGTACGAAGAAAAACAGAGTATCTTCGTAACGTGTGTACAATGCGGCAAAAAACAGTATCCGTTTCTCCGTGAAATTGTATGATCTCTTTCTCTCTTTCTCCGATGGAAAGAATAGGAAAAAAGGCACACGTCGAAAAACTAATGATAGCACTGAGCGTGTTTTCGCGTGAAACCGTAGAAATTTGCGTAGATCAAATACGCGAATCCATCGGACTCGTTTCTTCCTCCGTAGAGAAACACGATGAACTTGAACTATTGTCCGGAGCAGGTGACAGGTAGATGCGTGTTACTGGTCTGTGTCAGCCCCTTGCTGATCGTCCGATTACTCGAGTCAAGATGTAACGATGTATCTTTCGCGCAGAAACACACGTCCGATCGCTACGGTGTCGGTCTGCAAACTGACTGCACGCTGCGTGAGACTACTGCCGTCTTGGCCCCAATGTCGTCTGGCTTCGAGTTTGATGCGAGAAGGCTGACGCGGTCACGTGTGTCGGTGTGTACGTGATCGTGTCTGCCGGCGGTGCGCTTCGATCGTGGTAGTGACGAGGTTTTTAGTGTGC